CTCAGGCACCATCACCACCAGAAATCAATTGTTATATTGATTCAAATATAATAAAAATTGTAATTTTAATTTCAACTTTAATGTGTGAAAGACACAGCATTTGAAACTTGGTCTGTAAATTCTTATTTCAGTGTTCTGTCTTCTCAGAGTTAAATTATTTTATTTATTTTCAGATGAATAAATGAAGGCTGAACTATTGATTGTTCCTCTTCAAGCTCAGGGAGTTGATCTGTGAGTTGAACAAATGGATGAAATGGCTTACAGGTAACTTTATAGTATAGATCTTATGAATTGTAATATATTTTATTAAGGACCCCTGGTGGTATAATGGTTATGCATTGGGCTGCTAATCAAAAGAGCAGTACTTAGAAACCACCTGCTACTCTGTTGGAGAAAGATGAGATTTTCTACTCTTCTAAAGGGTTACAGTCTGGGAAACCCACAGGGGCAGTGCCACCCTGTCCTATAGCATCATTATGAATCAGAATCAACTGAATGGCAGTATGTTTGGAGCTTTAAACTGCATTTTATTGCTTACATGGACAATTTGAGCTAGGTATAATCATTCCCTTACAGGAGAATAATTTTTCATATAGAATTATCATAGAATAACCTATATCTGACAACTTTCATAAATATTTGGAATGAAGGGGTGTGGATGTAGTGGAGACTCAAAACACACCTGTAAGATAATTGGACAGTGTCTTTCAGAAGGGCCACATGGTAGGGATTATAAATCCAGGATGCAGTAAAGCACTGATGAACCACATAACTATCCTCTAGTTCTTTATTATTGCTTCCCCTTACTATTATGGTTTTATTTGTTTTGTCTCATTAATCATTTGTGCATACATAAGATCTATAAGGTCATTTGGTACATGAGAGCCAAGATAGATAACCCTTCAGAAACAATAACAGGCATAATGATTCCCTGAGGGTATGGGGAGAGATGGGGTTGGGGATTTGGGTGGGGGTTGGGGCATAGGGAGCTAATAGCAGTGATGACAGAATTGTATGTGAATGGATATATTGGATGTGTATGATATGGGGAGAAAAAAGCTCCCTGGGGGTAGTTGATGGCAGGGTGGGCTGTGGATAAAAGGGAGCTGATATCAAGGAGTTTAAGAAGAAAATGTTTTGAAGCTGATTGTGGTAGCAATTGTACAATCCTGCTTGATGTGATGGAACTATGGGATCTTATAATACCTGTAAGAGCTCTCAATAAAAATATTTAATAAACATTATTTTCCTTCATAATACTAGATAGACACTATTTACAGTGTGTCAATAGATGTATATTCACAATGGTGGTTAAAGTATACTATTGTCAATGAGAACTTCTGTGGGACAATATGTGTAGTTTTATATTATTTACGTGAATATATTCAATAATTATGGTTGTAGAGACATAAATCAATACTAATATTATTAACATATTGAAAGGAAAATATAATCACAAAATTTAGACAGGAGTTACCTTTGGAGGAAAGGGAGTGTGGAGGAATAGGATTATCTAAAAAAGGAAGAAAACTCAATATTTATAGGTAATATTTAAAATATGTGTTATAAACCAAATACTATTAATTATCTTTATAATTACTATCAGGAGTTGACGTTAGTGATAATAATAGGCCACATTGATGGAACACTTACTAACTGTCTGTAATATTCTAAAACAGTGGTTTGCAACTTTGACTCAAGTTCAGGATGACTAAGGGACTAGCTGATTAACTAACATTGGGAACCACTGATGTATACACATTATATTTAAATTATGTATATTTATATGATATAATCAAACTTTATTCTACAACTCTAAATGTTAGATTTAATTAATATATGAGATATTTCATCAAACATGTATATTATAAGTGCATTATTGTATATTTTTCTATCCACTTTTACATTTTCTCAGATTAAATTATATTGTATTAACCAAGCAAAATGAAGAAATGAGCTGCCATCAGGGAGATGGAATGAGGAGAAACCATTCTCCCTGATAAGCGAGATTAATTTGGAGAATTCCTAACTGGGCCTAAGATTGCTATGTGCAAGCTTGGTTTTGGAACTGACCTGGTCCTAATTGTCTCACTTGTAATAGAAGTGTTGGCAGGGTGGGCTGTCGATAAAATGGAGCTGATATCAAGGAGTTGTTTGGTAACCAAAACAACACTTTCCAAACATATGAGAAGCATATTGAAACTTTTATCAAGTCAATGGAGAACAGAAACAAATAATGAAAAGAGCTGATTAAACTTCAGAAATTTCCCTGAGATGGTACAGCATTGGTGCAAACAATAATGCATACTCTGAAGATACAAATAGAGTATTTTGCAAAAGTAAATGATTATTAATAATTGGGGGATTTCAGAATAATGCCATCTTTGGGATCAGCAATGCTATATGACTTTGTACATTTATTGAAGACATTCTCATCAAAATTTTATATTCATTAAAG